CTTATTTTCCTGTTAAAATATCTAAAACTGATTAATTGACTTGAGAAGCAACACTAAATAAAATATTAAGATTTTTTTTGTCTATTTTTTTATTTATCTTAAATAAGTGTAGTTTGTCTTACAGCACTGGCGGATTTCATGTTTTAATCAAAAATAAGTTTAAACAAGTAGAAAAAAATCTGCCAGTGCAGTAAGACAAAATACACTTAAGATACAATCTATGAAAACAGGTGTTATATCAAAGTTTCACTTTTCAAAAAGTAAACATATCATATTTTTTAGGATTTCTATATATATTTACCAGGAAAATAAATGTAAAAAAATATATAAATACATTAAAAAAGCTAAAAACCCATGAAGTGTAATATACAGATATTAGGAGTAATATTTCGTTATGGTGTTGCTACCAAGCAAAAAAAAAAAAAAAAAAAAAAAAAAAAAAAAAAAAAAAAACGTCTGTATTCTTTTTATTATTATAATACTATAGATTTAGTTTAATTACACCAAGTGTAAACTATTAAAACTATATAAACTATTAAAAAGTTTGTGGTCGGTATAGCTTTGTTAATATTTCTGAAATAAGTCTCTTTTGCTCACCAAGGCTGCATTTGTTAGATAATAAATACAGTAAAAAGAGTATTATTGTGAAATATTATTATAATTTAAATATTATAATAAGAATTGTTTGCTATTTGAATATATTTTATAATTTAATTTATTCCTGTGATGTCAAAGCTGTATTTTCAGCATTATTTCTCCAGTCTTCAGTGTCACATGATCCTTCAGAAATCATTCTAATATGCTGATTTGCTGCTCAAGAAACATTTCTTATTATCAATGTTGCAAATAGTTGTGCTGCTAAATATTTTTGTGGAAACCATGATACCTTTTTTCAGGCTTCTTTGATGATTTCCTAGAATAATAATAATAAAAAAAAGTAGAAATCTTTTGTAAAAGTCTTTAGTACTGTCACTTTTAAACAATTCAATGCATCCTTGTTGAATTAAACAAATTTTTTTTTTTTTTTTTAAAAAAGAAAGAAAAAGAAAATCTTACTGACCCCAAACTCTTAGAGTCCCTAACCGTTTTCCTATACCTTACCTTCACAATCCCCTGTCTGAGTGTAAAATAAGCCATCAGGACTGAATATTATACGGCTCACCAGAGGGGCAGCAAGTTTGTAGAAATTTGCGGACAGCCATATTCCTGTGTGGCATACTGGCTTTGAGGAGACGGTAGCAGTGATTCACAGGGCAGCACATCAGTCGAGCATACAACGGAGTGGAGGGACTCATTCTCCTGGTCCTTATCATGAAACACACAGACCCTTCTCGTAGTCCTCAGCCCAGCGTTCCTGGCAAATGTTGCTTTAGAAATGTCCCACGGTTCCATCCCTGAATGTTGAGACAATGATGTCACAAGGGAAATAACGGAACCTTGAAGAGCAGCCGACCAGAAGTATTTTCAATTGCACTGGAATCAGGTCACGCTCGCACTTCCTGCGCACACAATTTTAATGCAACCACTTGGTTGGTTGTTAGTTAAGTGTTAGTGAGATGTTATGGCAGCACTGAGAGTTCAAAGATGGCTCAGTGGACGATCGGTGAAGGTTACGGTCACTGATGCTCCAAGTGAGGGATTTGGTTGGATTCTGAAAGTGCAAACAGGAGTTAGTGAATAAAGGGACGGGTGAGATTCAAGGACAGGCAGTGATTGAAACATTCTTTGAAAGCATAAAGGCAGAATGACTGAAGTGGTATGGGAATAAAAGAAAGAATTGAATTGAAATATAGAATAACTACTGAGTGAAACTACATGTGAATAAATGGAAGTGCACAAAAAGAGGGAAGATTCATAAGTAGAAGCAGTACATCAAATATTAAAGTCTAATATAAAAATAAACCAGTAGATGGTGTGAGGTGACACTCAATTCTGTTTTTCATTTTAGAGTTCTATACTATTGGAATGATTCCTGTTTAACAATGGAATATAATTTGGAGGGATAATGGACATCCAGCCATTTGTTATCGCAAAGTTAACCCCAACAGGGTGATAAGTAAATAATAAGACACAAAATATTGATTTGAGTTGAAATATTTTACTAGCTAATTAAATGTTTCCTCAAACAGTTCTTAGCCAGCAGCTTGGAGCCTACGAACGAACAAGTTCAAACAAGACAGACATTTAAGGGATAATGTACAGTCCTATCAATTATTACAAGGCTTTTTACCACATAAATGAAAGACAGGGAAATGAAACCATTTTAAAATCCTACCTTATTGTTTTGTTAAACATTACAGTGTACATAATGGTTCTGGCAACATGACAAACACTTCAACAATATTACGGTATATGCCTAGTATTAATATTATTAAGTCAAGGTTAAAGCTGCAGTCCGCAGTTTTTCCTCTTTGTCGCCATCTCTGTTCGAAATCTGCAATTGCAGTCATTCGCGGAATTATCAACTTTACGTGAGTTGTACTTCGACACCCTCGACACGGCACAGCGCGGATGAACACAATGTTTGAGGAGAGTGTGTGGCTGTCAGTCACCGCGCCGGTGTGGATACTGGCATTCAGAATCACAGATTATTCTTTTTGGAAGTATGACCAACATAATAATTTTCACCATAAAATGTCATCTGAACAAGTAAGTAATATCCACTTTTGTTCTGGTTCTGACATTGCAGTAAATCGCGTTGATTAAATCTAAAAATCGCTTATCATATCACGCAAAACCGTGCAAATTATACTTTGTTCTCAAATTGTTAATGTTAATAACGTCAGCATTGCGTGACTACATTTAATGCCCTTCCGATATTATCCTTGTTTTCGCATGGGGCCGGTTGCAGTCTCTTTTTTTCTGTAGCCACTGCAAAGTCCGAATGAAGTCTGTGGCATTTTACAACGGGTGAGTCTCCAGTTGTCACTGGTGATTGTCGTTTGAACCTTTCTGGATCCGCCATCAAATTGATAAGTTTAATTATATCAAGTGCTGTGAGAAAAGGCTATAAATCTCCACCTCCAGCATCCTCACACGCATTATAGCCGAATAGCCGAGACTCCTTCTTTATGTGTACAGATGTGACGTAATGACGCAAAGACATGCTCGAATCTCCCGCGGAAATCCACCAGTACCACTGGAATTAAAAACATTATTACAAGCTTACCGCTTTGAATCGAGCTAAGGCAAGCAGATAGTTTTGAACACTGGCTGGTTATGTATTTTCTCAAATATGTATTTTGGATAATTTTTAACCCAAAAAAAGCTACTGGCTTTTTTATTATTTATTAATGCAATACAGTGCATGCCAATCATCTGTGGTCTCCCAGAGCTTACATTATTGGCAGTTTACTGTTAAGTCATTAATTTACACCAAAACAAAAGATAACATGTAGCCTATGCCTTCATCTCCGAAAACATTATTTTGTCTTACATTTCATAATGAACTTAGACAAGCTCAGTGCGGAGTCATTTTCAGTCAGTTTTCTTTTGTGAATTGGAATGTGTGCAAAATATTGTGGGTTATTGAAGGACATGAAAGATACACTTGATGCATCCTTCAAAATGAGCTGAATGAAAGGCACGAAACAAAGGCTGCCTTCCAAGGATCCTTTAAATTGAGACGGCCTTCAGCGGCGCTTGATGACGTGGTAGCCGAGATATGCAGCCCTACTAGGAGAAGCACCCGTGGACTCTTTGCTAAGTCCTTTTTAAAGCGGCTATATGTAGAGTTCAGAAACCCTTGTTATTAGCGACACCGGTGGCCGTTAAGTGAACTGCAGCCAGCAACTTATTACTGGTGCTTGCACTCATGCACATGTAACGTACAAGAGATTAATTTCTTTTTAGCTCTTTGCTCAGAAGTAAAAAGAAGTTGAAAATACCTTTACAGCGATATACCGTTAACGAACATCCAGACACCGTCCACGCTGCTGAGAGTGACATTTAGATGAGAATGTGCTGCATGCTTTTCTCTCAATAACAAAATAAACACAATAAAAATGACAGCGGTGAATAAACAGCAGTTAAGGAAGCATCTGATATGATAGTTGGCAATGTGAGACTATAGTTTGAATGAATCCCTTTTCTTTGTATGAAACATTGACATTACAGTACAGAATAGCTCTTTCGGCATTATCCTGAACATTGTTTAAGCATTTGTTTCTTGTGTCACTGAACTGAAGAGAGGCTCTCGGAGGGCGCACATAAATGTCACATCCTTTTGATTTTCGGTAAAAACGTCCCGAGTCCTTAACATAAAAATCAGTCTACCTAGCAGACAACCTAGGAAGTTGAGAAAAGTCTCATCTCTTAAGTTTACAAGCTGTTCACACATTGGCAATAAAAAAGTGATTCGTTTATGAACATTCTTACAAATAGCCCCTGTAAAAAGTTACAGACCAATCTAACTTTAGCAACTGTTGCATTCTGCCATTTTTCTGGACAAGCGTTTGCTCTTTTTTATGAAGGATCTGTATGTTTGGATTTAAAATTTTTTTTGCAAATGATTAATTTACAGTGTTTCATGTACATGTATGTATTGATTCAAGTCAGTGTTAAAAGTGAATGTGTTGCAGAAACGTTAGTAACAGTTCTGTTCACTTACACTAATGTGATCAGCTGTAATCACTTTCAAATGAGGTTTTTCTCATTTTAATTGACTGAGAAGTATTTTCCTCAACCTAAATTTGCAGTTTTTAATCACATTATGGCATAATTTCAACATTTATTTACAGAAAACGGATAAAAATAATTCACAATGTCATAATTCTTTCCTAAAATTAATCTTCAGCACTTTATTAGCACGGTTTTCTAAAAAATCACACCGCTCAGGAAAATCTCATGTTCATTCCTCACATCAAGACAAGTCTTGCCAAGTTTCTAAGACTTGAAGACAAATGACTTGAATAAGTGAGACGTAAAAACTCTGGTGTGGGATCGTGTTTTCCAAGTGCCCTGCTGAGAAACTGATGGTGTACAAACCCGTCTCTTTTTAGGGCCCTGACAGAACTGCTGAAACAGCCAGGCGAGGCCGGGGGAGTGGACAGAGGAGGAGGTCACCACCCCATCGGATCTAATGGCATCTCTGGCAGGTCAATGCGCACCAACAACGGTAAGTCACAGCTCCAGACGTACAGCTGTAGAGTTTCTGCTGAGCTCAATCACAGGGACTCACAGACAAGATGAAGAGCTCTTTGAATGGGAAAACATGAAACTATCCAAAGCTGTTCACCAAGCCAACGATTAAATTTCATATTTGAATCAATCACCAGTGAAATCTGACAACAACTGTCTCATAAATGTTGTTTCTAAACGCTCAAATCATGAAAAAAAAAAAAAAAAACGAGAAAAAAAAATCTGCATTTTTCAGTCTGGACCAGCCAATGCGCACGTGCAGTCATAAGCACACGTCTCACAACACTGACTGTTTCTGTAGCAGTTGGAGCTTCTGCAGTGACGCAATAACTTTACCAATTGGCGATTGGCTCTTTTATTTAGAAGGCGGGACTTATTCCGCAATATTGGGCGTTGCAATTTCTCCCACTCATACGAGTGCACTGTGTATATCTAAAGTCTTTGCTTATACTAGTAAGAAACAACCTAGCATTTCCCCCAGAACTCCTGTGGTGATCATTTTTATTTTTGTAATTTGTAGGGACACACGACAGCTTGAATAAATCCCCAAATTGTTGCAAAAAAAAACAAATGTTGATAATGTAGCTATGTCATCATTTCACATCATTCTTTCACGATCACAATCCATTTAATTATTCTTAGATACACATTGGCCGACAACATTATTGATGAAACCTCAGCAAAAACACTGAGGCTTTAAAGGCTATCACCTTTTGACCCACTGAGGGTAATGAACTTGAAAGAGGGAGTAATTAAATTTGCGGATATGAGAGATCCCACTGCTGCTCCCTCTCAGCCTTGGAAGAGGAAGTGGCTTAACGAAGCAACTGTGCTAATTAAGGCATAATTAAGAAACTTCAGCCAAGGCCTGCTGATCAAGAACACACTGTCCTTCTGTCTGAGAATTAGGGACCCATTTATCTCTCTATCTCACACACACACACACTTCATCACAGGTGTGATTATTTCTTGGGAGTGTGAGAATTTCCACTGTGTCAGTGTTTCTACTCGTACTTCTTTTATCTTCTTCCTTTTCTAAATCCATCTCTTCATTGAGTGTTTAATTAAGTGCTCATTAAGCCAGCTTGATCACACAAAGGGTCACAAGGGTCTAAGAACGATCCATCTGCACACACACACACACTCACACACACAGAGTCGTGACAGGTAAACTCATGTCGGGGAGTCCGGAAGGATGGATGGAAATTAGAGAAGGAGAAATGCAGTGATGAAGATGGAGTATGATGAGCTTCTAGAAAAGTAGTTCTCAATTTGAATAATTATGTTGACATTATTGTGTGATAAAGTCTCATTTAGGTTAATTAGCTTAAAATAGAGATCTAGTTAATTTCAACAAAACAGCAGTCTGGAAACATTATGCACTGCATAGAAAAACATATAACAAAAATTGAATAAATAAAACAAGAAATTATTTATATAATACTACGGGTCTGTATTGATTGGTTGACAAATGTTAAAGTGTGCAATTATTTTCAGGGAAACGCACGGCTGAAGTAATTCCAGGCAGGTCTATAACGCATTACAGGTCCATATCACTTCGCCACATGATTTCAGTTATTTCAAAGGTCTTTACAGACTACAACAGCAAAATAACCAAAACCCACAACGACACTGACCAAGCAAATAATTATAGTGAACAATAGGATAAAAAAACGACAAATTTGTTCCCGTGTTTTTTGCCACAAAATTACATTTTACTGTGTACGGAAAGCACATACTCTTTCTCAAAGAGCGTTTTAAGGACAAAAAAACTGACAAATGTCTTGAAATACACCATCTGAACAATATCTTGAGGTGTGGTAACAGTAGTATAAGTGGAATAATTGACTCCGGGCCGTTGAATTATTGAAAAAATAATGCACACCCAAGGTGTAATGGCCACCTGCATTACCACCTTGTGGCATTTCAAAATGAACTGTACTTTTTAGACCAAACTGCAGGTAATTCTTCAGGTAGTTTTGGAGTTTAAAGTTGTCCGAAATCTCTGTGGAACGAGTCCACCACCTGAAAAAATTTGAGAACCACTTTCCTTGAGGGAGGAAAATGAGATTTGAAGAATCAAGAAAACCAATAGGTGAGGGAACCTGGCAGAGAAAAATAGAAGGACAATGAGACAGTTTGAATGAATAAATAGTGTGTGAGAGAGAGAGAGAGAGAGAGAGAGAGAGAGAGAGAGAGAGAGAGAGAGAGAGAGAGAGATGGGAGGGGAAGGAAAAAGACCTGAGGGGAGGAATAAAGAAAGAGAGAATGAGACAAGAGGAAAGATGAATGAGTGTGGGAGAGGAATGGTGTGGGTGTGATAGGCTGTCGAATGAAACGAGAATTAGAGTGATGTTTAGAAAGGAGAATGAGAACTGAATGAAAGAACTGTCTCTCCCTCTTTCATCATCCTTCCATCCCAGCTCATCAACTCTTTGAAATCCTGGGGTCATGACCTTCTGCAAAAGCGTATGCTTCCAATAAGTATCATTATGATTGTGTTAGTATCGACTTACAATAGGTTGAATGACACGTCTGCCATAGCCTGACGGGGTCTGTAGCGTTTTTAATCGTACTTTTAAACTTCGGGTTTCGGGTAGTAACCGGCGAACAAAGAGAACTACAAAATTCGACTGCTTTACGGCATATACGTCACTTCCACCACCACCCCCACTTCCTTAAAATCGGACTTGCGAGCCAAATGTTATAGTCATGGCCGAAGCAGCACAGAAAAACAAGAAAGCAAAGGTTTTATCGGAGCAAAGCAAAAAGAGAAAAAGAGAAAGTGATCGCGTTAAAGGCAGAACGAGGATCAACATTGCAGAGCTGCCAACTCTCACGCATTGGCCGTGAGACACCGCATTTGATTGGTTTCACACGCTCACACGCCACACCCCCGGTTTCTCACGCTAAATTGTCAACCCGGTCGGTCAAATCCCTGAAAGATGAGTTTATCTATAGATCTACCTGTTGAGCCACTCGTGATCGACAAGTTATACCGCAAATTAGTTCAAATCTCCCGGAATCTAGAGCGAGCGCGCACGCGAGACAGAGACTGTGCTCCAACGCGCGCGGACGGCAGAGAGAGAAAGCGAGCGAGAGACCTTGCGTGTGGAGGGAGCATCGAACCCCCCATCGAAAAAAGAATGCCTCTCTCTAACCTCTCTAATTCGCTAGAGTAGTAGCGAATTATCAATCTGGTAGCTAGTAAACGATATTCTAGTTTTTGATGGTTAGCTATCGCTAGTATTCTCGTTCTGATTTGAACTTTGCAATCGATGAAATGCAAATAGCAAATGTTTGACCTAAAAAGTGTAGTCTACTCAACATGTACAAAGAAAGGAGGAAGATTATTAATAAAATCATATTTTAGGATACCTAACATGTCTGTGATATTTGTTTATTTGTCTTGCCTCAAGCTATAATGCAAATCGATTTGTAAAATTTGCAGATTCATTTATGGTAGCTTGATATTATAATATTGACGATATATGGTTATTATCAACCACTCAAACATTGCATTGAAGTATCATATAGATCCAGTAAAACGGTAACCAATAGACTAGGCTACTATAATGACGCTGGCTTGTAAACGTGAGCATCGCGATCATTTGTCGTTAGAAAAAAAAATAAAACCCATGAAATTATATTCATATGACATGCTGAAATATATGCCACTGTACCTGGGATGAAGACATTTCACACGCGACGCAAGCAGAACACCTGCATGTGACCTCCTCCTACAGTGTTCAGGGCTATCCTGGTTGTCAACAATTGCACGTGCATGTAGGATGACAGAGTTTACGACAGTAGTAGAGGACAATACTGTTTCCCAACTGTAGGGGGAGCCCGAGAGCAAAAAACTACCTGTTGTTACTTTAAGTAGCTTGCATAGGAAATTGCATAGTGACTCTTCTAGTCAGCTTTGAAGACAAATACAAGACCACTGAAAAACTACTTTAATTTGAACTACGCGTCACAAAAAATGAGTATGTGTGATTGTCAGCTTGGCTGTGACAGGTGGAGAGATGTCCATGCTCATCTTACAGCTGTCTGACCGAGCACTCAAACGCCTGTAGGCAAAAACACTTCTGTTTTTTTTTTCACCTGCTCAGGAGAGATGCGATTTTACTGCTGATACAAGCATGTTTTTACTGCATTTCTAAAGATGGAGATCTTACGGGTATGGCTGAGTGCGAAATGCTTCATATGTGCAACAGCATGAGTTGTCACACTGTTTGCATTTGATGATGAGACATTGCGTTGTTTGTGTGCGTGTAAGAGAGAAAGACTCTGTGCCATATGTGCCAATCATGTTCTTGGCAGACAGCATGTGTGTGTCAGTTGTGTGTGTGTGTGGGCTGAGGCTGGTTGTACTACAGACCACCCATGAAAAACCCATCCATCAAATCAAAAATGTGAGCGTGTTGAGGGCGACGTGTCTGGGAGTACATTTTTATTAGTGTTGTTACTGAAAAAGCAGTCTAGCACTGGTTGTATGAATACCGTTTCATAAATATGATACATCTGAACAAGAATGGGAGCAGATTGAAGAAAAAAGAAAAAGACATTTTATTTTTTCTAATTCAAAATGTAAATTTATGTAAAAATTACTATAATACTATATATATACACTCACCGGCCACTTTATTAGGTACACCTGTCCAACTGCTCGTTAACACTTTTTTTTTTCTTTCTTTTTTTTTTTTTTTTTTTTTTTTTTTTTTTTTTATATGCACAATATATTACAATACAGACAATAAATGTGTATACAGTAACTATTCAAGTAACTATTACTATTGCTATTACTATCACAGTAACTGTGAATAGCATAACTATTCACCCCGTTCAGTGTGAGCCTGGGTACATAAGTGAAGGGGGGGTTATAGCACCATGTTCAAGGTGTAACACGTAACATAGGACAAGTGACAGACAAACAACAACAGAGAACACATCTTGAGCAAATTATTCTTATTC